ATGGTCCATCGTCTGGCTCAATATTGTCACCATCGTCGCTTACTGAACCGGATTCAGATTCAGTTCCTAAAACGACATTTTCGTAGGAAAGCCGAGAGGATGTTTCTGACTCGCTATCATCACTGGATACCTCGTACAATCCTTCTTCTTTGTCTGGTATATTTTCCCTTCCACGTTCATTCTGCATAGACGCCATGGTTTGTTATCGTATCGTCTTCCTAAGTGTTCGTCACTTCCGGTTTGGCTGAGTCGAACATTTCGTTTCTAAAAAACTTCGGGGAAGCTGCAATAAAGTGCTTCTAACATGCGTAAGGCATTTATTATATTTTTTTAATCAGGTGTGATTGTTTTGGTACGTAATTATGCTTGTATATAAGTTAAAACGAAACTATTTGAGGTTCCATTTCCACTATCCCTTTAACCTTTCATATAATGTGACTACACAGAACATACACTATGACATAGATTGTTCCTATTTTCCAAATGACATTTTAACAATACCATAATGTTTATCAGATTTGACTGAAATAAAGTCAAATTCCCAAACACAGGCCTTGCAAAGTACTTTTTCAATAGAGAGTTTTAAAACACTGAATGCTTGGCTACGGTTGTTCCTTTCCTGTCAGTGCATGTACATAATACTGTGTACTTTATTGTTGAGGAATTGAAAAGATTCACATGCAGTACACACACAGTAGTTACTGTAATATATATGGTAACAAAAAATACCATATCACTCCGGTAATAGCCTGAAAACCATATACAATGAATTGCACTACATGGACCTCACATATAAGAACCATCGACTTCTTCTGCCCATTAACACAGTCCTCTGAAGCCAAGGCTGGTCTGATGGAGGATTTAGAGTATAGTTAAAGGCACATTATGGCCATTGAGCGATGTTTCGAGTAAGCTTCATTTTAAGCATGTGGATGCATTCAGTGTCTCAGGGGGAGTCCGGTGACAGACCGGCTCGATAAGCCTGTTCTTGATGTAAGGCTGCCTGGAATAAACATGTTTCCCTATACTGGGAGAAGGTCGGTGGCTAAGCATGAAGGTTAGAATAATTATCATTTGTCAAAGCTTATCACCATTTTGCACCCCACAAAGAGTGTCATCTTAGAACGGCTCCCATTAACAGAAGCCTCCACGGAGAGAAAAGTGTTTGAGTCTCATAACCAAAGGCTAGCAAATATCAAGTTGCCATTGTAGTCGTTTATGTCCGAGATGCTCATGGTCCTGAAGGTTGTGGCAGAGGTGACAAGAATACATAACAGAGGTGGCGTGAAGACTCCATATGATATTTATAAAGGTGGTCTGCAGGTCGGAATGATGGATAGGACGAACCAATACTCATAAATAAAGAATGAGTACCGGCTTTGCTGTAAGCTCGAACAATATGCCTTTGTGCAAATGTCAGCAAAAAGGGACAAAGAAGAAAAATAGGAGTGGAGAATTTGGTGAAATCCTCTCTGATTTGACCAGATCAAAGGATTTGACCTTTAAAAACAATACAACTATAGCTGAACGAGGGGATTTAAAGCTTAAGAGGGTAAGGATTGCGTTGAAAATATACATTGATTAAGGGAGGAATAAATTGAATTACTTTCAAGTTTCGAGGCAGAAAATGGCAATCGTGTTTAATCCAAAATCATGGAATAGAAGTGAGGAAGATGACAGAAAACAGATTATTCACATCACTACTCAAGCCTTCATGCAGTACGGATGTGCTTATAGAAACTATTCAAAAGCAGCTTGATCCAAAATTCACTGGTTTAGAAATATGTGTGCTGCTCTTAAATAATCTGTGTTGGATTGAAAACTGTTGGTCCGTCCGTCTGTCCGTCAGTCAGTAAACTTGTTTGTTCTTTAAAGAAAGCTCAGGGCCTGCATTTTTCTATCTATAAATTGTCAATTGAGGGAGGAGATGCAGAAGGAGCCAATTTGGGGAAGGAGGCATGTTACCAAGCTTTCCCTTAAGGAAATCAATGGCCCACAGCACAGAGGGGTTTTACATCTGATAATATCAAGTAAGCTTGAATTACATCATTTGAGCATGTTGGCTTGAAACAAATAAAGAAAAGATAAAAAGCTGCTTAATATTCTCATCGATTTTGATTCCTTTGCTCCTCTCTATCAGTTGTCCTGTGTCTGTCTCACGTAACTCAAACTCATACAACTGTAATGAGCAAACTGCTGGATGCCTGTGTTACGCACATATGTTACAGTACAAAGTATAAGCCCCAAACAAAACAGGATGTGGATGCAGGCTGTTTGCATTTGATAACATTCTTCAAAGCCATGATTTCGTGGACAAACACAGAAGCTGTTCAATACCATGCCATCTTGCCTCATTGTTGCTGTGGTTAATGTAAAAAAACATTTGCATAATTCAGTCAAGAATCGTGACTACAGTGGCATCCACTCTTCTCAAACTAAATGGGGTATTTAAAAGTCTGTCATTGTGTATACAAAAATCTCAAAAGGCAGTTTTACCAATCTAACTGAGGGGATTTGAGACTTTATACAGCAGAAGCAAGTAATGAAAGACCTCCAGCAAACCAATCGATGTGATGTTGAGCGTTGTGTTAACTGGCACAATGACTGAATGTTGTGTAGCCATATTAGCCAGTACAACAATAAAAGTCATGTAATTTTAACCATCACAAAATGGTTATGGCTAAAAATATTATTATGAATTGTGTCAGAGCTCTGGCTTGCCCTTTGGGTGAAACCTCGGGTTCAGTGTCTAGCTTATTGACAGTTCATCACACAATCAGAAGCAGCCAAGGATCGAACTGCCATTTTTTTTGTACTAAAGGACGTAAATACATTGAGCCATTAATCGTTTAATACACAGACATGAGTAGGCAGTGAGCTTGTGAGAACAGACAATGCCAGGAATGGATATTATGGTCCTTCTGTTAACAAATGAATGTGGCTTTCAAAGCAAAATTGTCTGAGGCTAATGTCTCTTTTAAACCCTTGAAGATAAACTGGATATCAAATGAATTATAAGGTGTATCAAGCACGACTGGATCCCTGTCATGGAAGTGTCTCAGCAGTAGGCCGAGTCAGCTGTGGGCAGTGAGGTGAGAAGGGAGGGTAAGTGGAAAACATTCCCTATAGGGTAAACAAGGTGTGATTGAGAATTCCTGCTGCTATCCTAGTGAAACACAGGACAGATAGAGCCAATCAAATGCTGTGCAGGGTAAACGTGACTTTATTACCCAAGTGGCTTGAGACGACACGTGCTATAGATCTGCTCAGAAGAAAAGTGAGGGGAAATCATTAAGCGCATGTGGAGACGTTTGTCTTTTTTTTCCTCCAGTACGATCTCACACTTTGGTGTCAAGTCTAAATGAAACAATGTGCTACACGGAAGAGGTCTGTCACTCTCCATGAGGCCCCCCCGTCTCTACTGATGGATAGAAAGGTGATTGGCATTTCAACCACTACTTGATATCACATGAGCGTCCCTGAGGTTGTCGAACTCGAGACGTGTATGTCACAAGAATTACAAGTCTTAAGATGCAAATTAAAATATATGGGGATTTACGAATGCCATTGTTGGTAGCTGATTAGAGATGAAGGACGTGTTGGCCTTTTCACGCTGTTTCGGAAAAATGCGTGAAAACTGAAGCTTTAGTTGGAAGCAGCGTTCGTTGGCAGCACAAGACGGGGAGAAAAACCAGCAAAATAAGGACAGCACAGACTTCAAATTCCGCAAATAAACAAACTGTTTACTTGAGCCAGTTTTAATTAACTGATAATATTCACTATGTATCCCCATCCTTCCCCACATGCCCGGTTTTTCCCATGCCTTTGGGATTTCAAAAGTTTGCCATTTGTGTTTGGCGCTTTTCATTCAGTGTGATTTAAAGACAGTTCTGAAATCAATACAACATCCTTCACAATGGCTGAACACTTGAGGCAGAACACGAATGCAGCTCCAAGGTTAAAGTTGATGCTCGCTTCAAGGCAAACTCATATTTTCAAGAGAAAATACACTCAGTCCTTTAGTTGAAGAAGATGTATTAGCACACAATGAAGTTGCAAGGCTATCATAAGAATGTTACTTAGAAAAAACATCCTCAAACTTTTCCATGCCACAAAAGTTAATCAATGACTATGTTTTGATTCTACTTTGTAAGGTAAGAAACTAAAGTATGTCATGATATACACATCCATACATCTTCCATCCTCATGAAGCTCCATTTTGTTGTCCTATTGTTGTTTTCAAGGGATGGTGTTTCAGCATCTCAAATGTGAAGATATGCTGTTTTTTATATATATATTTACACATATATATATATATATTTACATTGCATTTTCATAACATAGTTTTTTTTAATTACTTTTAGTCCAAATATTTTAAGCACACATAATAAATAATAATATCAATAATACGTGTATTTAATATAGCACCTTTCACATAAATATAATTCACAAAGTGCTTCACAGGAAAGAACTAAAGTTAAAATGAAGACCACAGAAACATGAATACAATAACAACATGAGGCAGAAATGAAAGGTTTACATAAAAACAAAACACAGACCACGTAGAGTCCCAAAAGGGACAAAAATAAGAACAGAACACATCACACACATCTCAAGTATAAACAAAAGCCAATGTAAAAAGATAGGTCTTCAATAGTTTTGAAGAGACTACAGAGACTGCAGAGCGGATGTCAATAGGGAGAGAGTTCCTAGTGTTGGAGCCAACAAAAAGGCACGGTCACCTTACGTTTTGGTCATGGTCATACTTAAATACTTGACGTTAAGGTCCATTCTCAAAGCTGTTCTTCTCAATGGAGTATTTTTACAGTGTAGTGTTAGTACTTTAATTTTAGGAATGAATACATTTTCAGCCACTGTCATTTTCCGACTATTACTGAAAGATTAGTTTAAAATCCAGCTTTAACACACACAAGTGTACAAATACACTCCCAAATATTTCTCCCATTTGTTCCTACAGTCTACTCTCTGACGTCACTGACCTGTCCCAGCAGCTCGGGCAGCCCCAGCACCTGTCCCGTGAAAACGCCGAAGCAGATCAGGATGGCGTTGAACTGGCCAATGGATCCTCGGATATGTCTCGGTGTAATTTCTCCCAGGTACATTGGGAGGGCGCAGAGAGCTATACCTGTTGAGAAAACAATAAGATATTGTTTTCAAAAGATCAAGACCTATGTTTAATATGATACCGATCAAATTATAGAGGGAACATCACACCTTACGTGATACCGCTCCTCGAGTGCAAAGTGGCTGCTATGAATAGGTAGAGCTGTAGGAACAAATATCCCTACTTATTGTTCCTTTAATCTTGAGAATATGTTCAAATTGTTTCTGAATCTGTTATGTGTTAATACAGAAATACAAAGACATTGCCAACTACTTCAACTCCACTTTGACAGTAGGAAGCAATTGTTGGAGAAATGCTGAACTTTCCTCAATCGTGTGGCAATGTTATGGGTACTTATGTGGATGGCCTATGCATTACAAATTGGGGTATCTGCATATAATAAGGATATTTCTTCAAGTGAGAGTGCTGAGTAGGAAATTGTTCCTGAGGCCTTTAACACTAAGGTCTCAAACTCGCTTGATGGGTTCCACTTGTTTAATGGTAAGATGAGATAAGGTTTGTGGGGAGTATTATTCAAGTGCAAAATGGATACACACTGCTTCAATGTAATACAATACCCAAAAGGCAGAGTTATAATTAACATACTGTAGCCTACAATACACACAGTAAAAGATAATACGTACAAATTGCACAGGCCTTGTTTTCTAAGAGGCTTGTCTGGAGTTGAGGACTTGTCAGACTTGCAAATGAGGTGTAAATATCACACTCACACGTACTCACTTTCTATCAGAAGCTGGTCAAAGTGAAGCACTGTCTGACAACAATTTGATCTCCTGATAATGTGTCTCTGCAGGTGACGCAACCCACCATCAGTGATAATTGAGTGCTGATGTAAAGCTCCTTCTTAATAATCTCAGGAGGGAAAGTTAAAACTGTAATCAAAGTTTTACTGACAGCTGTGTGAATTCAGATGTGTCAAGTTAACCACCATCAATATCTGTCATTTCCCATAGATCTTCTTCCTTGGGCCTACACGCCTGTTTTTGATTCTTCTGATGTGCTTCTTGATCATTGCTCACTTAAAGGAAGTGAAGCATTTGATCTTATTTGAAGCTGCTGATGAAATGAAGTGGATAGTGTTTCTCTGAGGCAGAGTTCAAGTAAATGTGTATTACTGTTTGGAGTCTGTTGGATCTGTTCAGCTGGGATCTAGGCTGTTATAAGCTCAAAGGGAATTCTGTTTGATGGTAAAGATGGTTCATATCTTTGATGAACAATGGGAAAATGGGTTAGTTATAGAAACACAAAACATTAAAGGTGGGGTAGGTAATTTTGGAGAAACCAGCTCGAGTGCGCTAGAATTTGAAAATACACAGCCGGAAAAAATCTGCCACTTCCTTCAGACTTCCTTACAGAGCCCCTCCTCCAACACACACGAACGCGCACATGACCAATGAGGGCACGAGATAAGTTTGTGCACAGATGGAAGGCTGACAAGCAGGTAGGCCATCCTGTTACTTTAGCTGGGCCGGCTAAAATGATTGATCGTGCTTTTTACAGTGCTACGACTTCCACAGATTCAGGTGATAAAGTGGGGGGGGTTACCTTGGTTGGTGATTGGCTAATGGTTACACAAGCCAAATAATCATTATGTCATCATAATGAGGCCAACATCTGATCAGCTCATTTTCAGTCAGGTTTTTATATAAATGGATCAGGACAAAAAGTGAGCGAAACCTTTTTCCTGAAACTTTCAGAACCTCGTTGCACAGAGGGGACACATGGTTGTGAATAAAAGACATGAAAATGTGGATTTTGCATAATAGGTGACCTTTAAAATTGTGAATCCTCCTTGTGATTTGAATCCAAAATGTGATGGATTATCCTTGAACCAAGTGTCCTGAAAATTATGTCAGTATTTTTCTGTAATCCGGCTGACAAACAAACCAGAGGTAAACTTCTAATCCTCCCTGCAGTAATTTGCTCTACACTGGCTTTTGTAAACTGCCCGAGTTGTGAGTAGAAGCCATACTTTTCCAGCCCAGTGAACACTTACCAGAGTCCACCCCGATAATGAACCGACCAATGATGAGCATCTCAAAAGATTTGGCACTTTCACCCAGGGACAGCAGCAGCACAGCTATTAGAGCGAAGATGTTATTCAGCAGCAAGGTTCCCTTTCTGAAGCCAGAGCAGAATATGGTTTTAAAAAGAGAGAAACATCACATTCAGGCAGAGGATAAAATAATATCTGCACATTTATATTGTATTCATTTCAGTTTAATTGTAGAAATGTGCAAATTAATTACTTGTGATATAACTTATTTAAAAAGCAGAACCACAGCTAGCTTGTCTACATCCTGAAAAGTTGATTTAAAAAATAATAGTATTAATAATAAATATGCTTTCTTAATATAGCAATGCAATAAAAAATAATAACTTAATGATTAGAAAACACCAAGATAAACTGTAGCTTTGCAAGATTGGAAAAACTAAACCCAGAGACATTATTACATTTTCTTGAAAACGTTCCTATAAAAAAAGGTTTAAGGAAGGGACATTTGAACATGGTGCTGGAAGCAAAAACCATTTGATCTTGAAGATGATAAGGAGAAGAGTTTAAAGAGGTGTAGGCCTACTACTCTTTATAGCCAGCAAAGAAGAAAGAAAGAAATCATTAGCCGCTTTCACACCAAGTACTTTGCCGTACTTAGTGCCAGCACTTAGTGCCCCGGTACTTAGTACCCCAGGGGACTAAGTACCAATCGCGTTCACACCGGAGGACTTTTCCCTGAGGGAAGATTACGCAAATGAGCCGCTGACGTCACTTCGTCTTCTTCTGCTTTGGGTTTACTGGCAGGCCGCAAACAACTTCACGGCGTATACTGCTGCCGGAAGTCCCCGGCCGGAAATCCCCGGCCGGAAGTCCCCGGAGGACTGGCTTCAGTAGAAGATGCTGGGACTCCCAGCAGCTTCTACTGAAGCCTTCCGAGTAAATCGCCAGAACGCCGACACCTCCTCATCTCCACCGCTCCCATGTTTTTATTTGTGTCGCCATAAGTTAGTCTCTCTCCGTTGGTGCGCGGGGCGAATGCTAATGCCAGAGGCTTAAAAAAACTTTTCAGAGTTTTACGGGGCGTGGTTTGCAATTCGCCCAGCCAATAGAAATGTGTACTTTTTTGGCACTAAAAATGGGGGTAAAAGTTCCCGGTAGTAAGTACACTTTTTGGTGTGAATGCGACATAAGGGGTACTAACGGAACTAAATGGGAAAAGTACGGGGAAAGTACACCGGTATGAATGCGCCTTATGTGTCATCTTCAAGGAGGCTGCTGATGACTGGTCAAGCTTCAGGTGACATTTGTGAGGAAAACCAATTAGTGCATGATCAAAACTAAAATATATTTAATACATATTAAGGACATATTATACTCATTTTCAGGTTAATATTTGTATTTCGTGCCTCTACTGTGACATGTTTACATGCTTTAATGTTCAAAAGGCTCTTTATTGTTCTCATACTGCCTGTGCTGCAGCACCTCTTTTCACCCTCTGTCTGAAACCAGAGCCCAGTCTGCGCTGATTGGTTAGCTGGCCGGCTCTGTTGTGATTGGTCAACCGCTTAGAGATGTCCTGCCCCTTAGCCCATCACATACAAAGTGTTGGAGTGCTAGCCAATAGAAGCGCAAATGTTACATATTGATGTCACTATATGTTACCGAAGTAATCAAAGGAGGCGTTTCAGGCAGGAGGGGGACATTTTGGATTTTAGCCTTTGCAGACCATTTACATGCACAGAAACCTATATAACACACTCTTTAATGAAAGTCATTCTTGGGTCAGAATCCTCATAACAAATTAATCCTGAATCAATAGGAGTGGCAGTGAGTCAACTCACCTTCCCAGTATTTTGAGGATCATGGTGACAGACACAGCTCCGAGGAGGCCTCCGATAGAAAATATAGACACAGTGACGGACCAGAGGAGGGTGGCGGTCTCCGCTCCGAGGGGCTCCCCATACCTCTCCATCCATGTCCTGTTGTAGAAAGCTTTAATGTACTGCAATACAAGAGACACATGGGAAGCAGATATGTGTCAAGTCCATTGTTCATTTTAAACAAAAAATGATTACACCTTCTAATGTTTCATTAAAGATAAAAGGTAAAACCCACAATTCAAATTAGACCGAAAGCAGAATGAATGTAATATATATTCCACAATGCCTTTCAATGTATAATGTAGTTATTATGCTCAACGACACACTGTCACTTTACTGTATACCAACTCAACTCCCCTACCATACATATTTATTTGGAAAAGCACACTTTTATTTTTGAAGTTTTCAGGGCATTTAGTTTGTGTTTCATGTTTTTTAAGCTGGTAATATTTCTGTTTAATACAACAGCTCTCTTAAATGATAGATATGTTAATAATATATATAACATAATGTATACTTCCTGATTAGACTCTAGGTCCCTATTCTAAAGTTTGGGTAGCTTATTTGGTTGTCCCATTTCACATACTTCTATTATATCTTATGCTTGTCCTTGTATTTAAAACTGTGAATGCAATGAATTGAATAGTTTGACAACTAATACATCACATGTCATGTACTCAAGGACTGCATTTAATGAGAACATCGAAGTAAAGCTACACTGAGTGAAAGAAATGGGAGCTTTCACCGAAGGGTCCTTCAAGACACTGTCAGCACAAAAGCAGACGGAACAAAAAACCTTGTGTTTTCATTCTTTTATTGAGATATAAAGAAAGGGCTACATTTTAGATCTTTTAATCTCTCTTGTACATTATGTTCATTAAACTTCAGGCTGCCGACTTGACACATTAAACCCTTTCATAATTAACGAGCTTCTGACTTGGCGGCTGAGTTCAGCCACGCTTCATTCTAATTCCCTGTTTTACAGCAATAACCATGCCATGTACAACATGTCAAAATGGCAATCTAGGTTTTTACTTTAATAACTAAATCCATCCATCTTCTCCCGCTTATCCGTGGTCGAGTCTCGGGGGTAGCAGTTCCAGCAGAGAGCCCCAAACTTTCTTTTCCCTGGCCACATCAACCAGCTCTGACTGGGGGATCCCAAGGCGCTCCCAGGCCAGCGAAGAGATATAATCCCTCCACCTGGTCCTAGGTCTACCCCTTGGTCTCTTCCCAGCTGGACGTGGCTGGCCCAGGTGGCATCCTTACTAGGTGCCCGAACCACCTCAACTGGCTCATTTCAACGCGAAGGAGCGGTTCAACTCCGAGTCCCTCCCGGATGACTGGACTTCTCACATTATCCCTAAGGGAGAAGCCAGGACGGAATCCGCATTGTTCCTCCTCAATCTGAGGTTCGACAATCGGCCTGACCCTCCTTTCGAGTACCTTCGAGTAAACATTCCCGGGGAGGCTGAGTAGTGTGATGCCTCTGTAATTGGCACACACCCTCTGATCCCCCTTTTTGAAAAGGGGAACCACCACCCCGGTCTGCCACTCCTTCGATACTGTTTCCGACTTCCACGCAACGTTGATGAGACGTCTCAACCATGACAGTCCCTCAACACCCAGAGCCTTCAGCATTTCTGGGCGGATCTCATCCACCCCCGGGGCTTTGCCACTGTGGAGTTGTTTGACGACCTCAATGACCTCCCCCCGGGAGATTGGTGTTGATCCCCCGTCATACTCCAGCTCTGCGTCTAACATAGAGGGTGGAGTTGTCGGGTTCAGGAGTTCCTCAAAGTGTTATAATATGTTGCACATCCTTTTAACATGTGTTTCTCATCGAATTAAATTACTAATAATTACTGACATAACTTTAAATATGATGTATAGTTTCCTAAACTGTATGTAACTGTAACTGTATTTTTAATTAATGACTGTTTTTAAATGCCTTTGTCTGAATGTCTTTCATTGTTGTAAAGCACCTTGAATTGCCTTGTGTTGAAAGGTGCTATATAAATAAACTTGCCTTGCCTAAACTAGTAACTCCTAAACGTTGTTCCCTTTCCTCTGCTGTCACGTTAATACTTTCCCTGTTTGGTCAGGTACATGTTCACCAACAGTATGGACTTGTGAACCTTGTGCCTCGATTTCCATCAACTTCCCACTGAAATGCATTGGATTTTAAAATGAGGAGGATGTGAATACGATTTTTTTTTTGTAAGAGGGCAGAAATCATGCTTCTACTCATGGCCGTATCCACCATTGAGGTCACCGAGGTCCGGACCTCGGTAATTTTTTTCGAGCTGTGTATATAACTAAACATGTGAAATAATTGCACTAAACGGGGTTCTTTGTAGTACTTCCATTTACTGACGATGGGGGCGCTGCATAACTACGTAGCCTCGGTCAAAGCAAACAGAAGAAGACGACATGTATATCAACAAACCACCGCAGCTCGGACTATCTAGAGATCTGAGTCCAGCGGGCTGCTTGTGTTTCTGTTCCTCAGGACATCATATGACCAGCAGATCCTGTGTGAACGCTCTACGTTAGTCAGTGGACGTCCGACAACATGCACACTAACTTATATTGCAGCTATAGGCTATACTTTGGTTTAAATAGCGTGAATAAACTAGCTAGAGAGCTACAGTTAATTACATTCATCCAATGTCAGAATTGGATTACCTTTTAACAAACGTTGTAATGCTTTTCTTTCATTTCAATTTGAATAAAAACATTGGAGATATAACATTGTATTGTTTTCTTTTTACACTGACTCAGATATAATGAAAATACTACGTCAGTCGAAGCTCATCTTTGGTGAGAGAGAGAGAGAGAGAGAGAGAGAGAGAGAGAGAGAGAGGAGAGAGAGAGAGAGAGAAGAGAGAGGAGAGAGAGAAGAGAGAGAGAGAGAGAGAGAGGAGAGAGAGAGATAGAGAGAGAGAGAGAGAGAGAGAGAGGAGAGAGAGAGAGGAGAGGAGAGAGAGAGAGGAGAGAAGAGAGAGAGGAGAGAGAGAGAGGTCGGGGAGGAACTGCAGGTACAGTCACACAAAAGAATGTAGGCTTAATAACCCCATCTATACATCTATAACAATAGTCTTCATTTACAATATAGACAATAGGCATAATTTTAAAACAACATACATATATTGCAGTTATGATGTCATAATAACATGCAATTGTATAAAACACAATCTGCTTACATCTTTGTTCTCTTTTGAGAATCAAACAAAACAGATTTTTAAAAAAAAGAATGCAAACAATTAGTGAAATGAACTAAACTGCTGAATTGCTTTTGATTCACTGGCAGGAGCGACAAGTGAGGAAGAGCAACAAGTGAACAACGAGGGAGAGATTGAGAAAGAGAAAGAGTAGAGGACAGAGAGAGTAATTAACAGGAAGAAGACAGAGAGACTCAAAAAGATGGAAGAGAGGCTGCAGGTTATGGAAAGGAGAGAGACATGGAAAATGAATGTTGACAATGTGTTGTGATCATTTTAGCCTCTTCTGCTTCCAGATCATTCATGGTAACAATCAACTGATTCTTATGTATTACACTTTCAAAATAATTTATGCTGCAGCCCACTGACATGGTTAGAAATCAATATATTATCCAATGTGTGACCCCCCACAGGACTTAAAAAGCACCTAACTAGATCATGAAAATCCCCCAAATCTCGGGGGGTATCCCCCGAACCCCCCTGACATATTTGGACCTCGGTATTTAGGAGATCCTGGATACGGCCCTGCTTCTACTCACTCACAAATCACACAGAGTTCACCGTCTGATCACATATTTGATGTGCGAGAGACTACGAGTTAATTAGAATTGAATGTCCATGCATTTTTTAACAATCCATCTAATATTCCTTTGTACCAAGAAAGGGACATGAAGAGGGAAACCATCAAAGGTTAGACAGAATAAAAGTTTACTTTTGTGAACACGCACACACGCACCATGTATACATCACTTCAGGGGACATTACATTAACTTACATGCATTTCCTGGAGACTTATCCTAACCTTAACCAACACATGCCTAACCCTAACCTTACCCTAACCAAGTCTTCACCCTAAAATTAATGATTCCCCTCATGGGGACCTCCAATTTGTCCCCATAAGGGAGGCGAGTCCCCACACGTGACTGTGTAAACAGATTTAGGTCCCCACAAGTATAGTAATGCTAGAACACACACACACACACACACATTCATTGAGTTTAGTTCTTGTAATATAAAGAAATAATATCAGAGCTTGACAGTGATCAAGGTTTTCATATCAAATCTGCAGAGAATAACAACAGGGAACACTGAATATCCTTCTCTGACCTGGTGGTTGGAGTTAAATTAATTAGCAACCAAATTCAGTACTCTGGACACGCATGATGTCGTCTTTGGGGATCTCCCATAACTTTTCATTTTGGCTGATTTCCCAAACGGCCAGGGGAGTAGATAATAAATTACTGTAAGTACATTTTTTCGTACCATTTCCGTCTGAGCTACTCAACATGTTAGTGGCTCTCTGGAGGCACACCTGCTGCTGTGCCTGGGGAAAACTAAATGTTGGTTTACCTGCATCGTGTGGATTTACTATTGTGATTTTAGGGGATAGTTATAACAAGGGGGGGGGTTAAGCTTTCAGGCAAATTTGCAGCACTTATCTTTTTTGGAATAATCATGTCATTTCGGTGAGCCAGTCTTTTTCAGAAAAAAGGTTTGAGAGCGTACAGTCGGTTATTTTCATTTCAATGTGTTTGCCAAACGAACAGTAGAAGAGAGGATATTGCCAGTTGATTTATCTATCACATTTATAAAGACAGAGGGAGATATTTTGGATAAGAGCCAACGCTATCTTAGTGATCAGCAGGTGCTCGAGGTGAGGAGAAGCTAATAAGAGAATACAATAAAAGCAACAGCTCATCATATCAACTGGAGAATTGGTGCATTGACAGAAGCAGATTATTGACAGGAACTACTGATTAAACAAAGATCAACTTGATCAACTTAGCACGTACAGACAACAGTGGAGGTTTCTAGTTTTACGAAAAAAAGCATGCCATCTATTGTGAATGTCCTTCCATATCAAGCATACTAAAGCTGCAGCACTTTTCTCCTAATGGAAGTGTTTTGGGTTGTCGTAATGTGTTTGCACCTGTCAGCCATCGTACAAACAACATGAATACAATGAATAAGAAGCTACCTGAAAATATACCATCAGAAAGGTGGCATTTCCGCCAAGATAGAGCAAATTCTCAGGCAAGAAGAGGCTGGTTCCAACTTAAATGGCTATTTAGATCTATATATCTATATACTCATTAATTTGAGTATATACTGTTTTTTTAACTAAATACAAATCTGTACATTTGACAGTGTATTGATACATGAAAATGATCCATTGTTACACATCAAATTGAGAAAATAAATAACTGTGTCTTCAGATACAATTATTGTGGGGAAACAATTCTTAATCTGAAGGTTTGAAGGACAGCTGTTAACATTATCTGTAAGACGTTTATGGAGGCAGAAATGAGGCCCAGGTTTCGAGGGATCAGGCTATATTGTAAGAGCAGAAAGAGAAGTGAAGCTGTGTGATGGAGGAGTGTGAGAGTCAGCCCTTCAGGTGAAGAGTTAAGAATATAAAGAGCTGAGACATTTAAAGTATATTAAAGCTTTGTAAAACATTTAAGAAAGCCCATGGACTCTGAGTTATTAATGCATTAGCTTTGTGAACATGTAACTGTCCATAATTCATTCATGCAAATTGTTAAACAATTTACTGCTGCAACAGATGCTAATTAACAGTTGCCCCTTTTGGGAATAATAAAGGGTTTTCGAGCCAAAATATGGGAAAGAGACACTTGTGAGGGCAGGAGGGACTTGGTGTGTCCATATGGTGATGGCAGACTTTTATTTATAGACCTTTCTTGTGATATTTTTCTGACGTTCATCTGTTGATAGGAGTCAGCCCGACAATACATAATGGGCATCACAATCATTTTAATTGTAATGGTCCTCTACATTTGATCTGTAAACTGTGAAGCACAGCGTTACTGAAGACCAATCACAGCTATGCTTGTGATGTGTGCTTCACTCAAATCGTAAATAGCAGTCTATGGTAGATAGAGCACCTAATTAAACAGGAATCCTGCTGTTCTGGGATCAGCAAATGGTAAAGGTTTCCTCTTTAAACCTTTGTGCCACTGTTGTCAGCATATTAAAGCAGCGGGGTTCAAGCTAGATGTAAGACTTTTACATAATTATCCCTTGGAACATTTGGTGTTACTGTGGGATCACACAGCAAATGAATTAATACATTAAAAAACCTCCAGCGTTACGTATTTAGGAAAAATCATGGCACAACATAAGCATGTTTTCCCTTAACCTCTTATATCGTTTTTAAAAAGAGCCCTTAGAGACCTTTCTACTTTCTTTTCTATTCCAATGAGGTTACAATATGTTGAGCCATACAGGAGGAGTGGTCTAAGAAACATATCTACAATGTTGCATTCATTTCAGGGTTAGGAACATAATTTAAAACCAGCCCTTCACTCTTTTAGTCACTTGGAGAATGTCCAATTGGCAATATGCCAACAAAGAAAAAACAAATGAAACTTTGAAAAGAGGAAATGTTTCTCAATCAGTTTCTTGAATCTCTCAGATTAAGCAGATAATTCTCCATGTGCTCATTAATATGAGACTCCTCACATATTATTATTATTATTATTATATAAACTGGTAAACTGGTATTAGTGTCTTTAAGGCTTTCAATTTCCAAATTCCATATAATATGATAAATTACGACGTGCCTAATGTTCCTGAATGTTATCAGAAAACATACTTTTCCTCTGTTTTATTTTGTTTGCATTTATCATTATCAAGGCCGGACTGTTAATATGTACTCTCAAAACCACTGAATCATCAGGACTTTAGACACATACAGGTTTTCAGATTAAATGTGTTTTCTGTATTTGGTGCAACATTTAAAGTACTTGTGTTGGCAATACCAGAGCTGAGGGTTGTTTGGGTTATAATACTTATCCTGTTAGACCCCAAGCCTGTTTTTCAGGTCTCAGGCTCGAAAATGACATTTCCAGAACAAATGACCTTAACTACTTCTAAAAAGGGGGAAATTAATAATCTTTTTTCTCAAAGTAATGATAAACCTGTGAGTTGGATGTAGAACAGTCAGAATCAATATAGATGTGTTTTATTTTAAAGAAAATTCAGATTGAACATAGTAAAAAACTGTAAATTATAGTGTCCGTCCAAAATTTATTTTTTACTTATAGTGAAAACTACCCTTGGATGATGGGTTAGTAGACTAAGCTTTAGGAATCCAAAGTACAACATATAATAAGTGCCCTGTATCAAGATTGATGCAAAACAAGTGACATTTTACCTTTTTAGAGAGATTTAGCACCAAAAAAACCACTTCTGGGGTCATTTGGGTGGATTTTCCATATCTCTGGCCCCCCTTGGTCGATTTTGATGATTGACATCTCTTTCTAACCGTCAGAGCCAATGGAATCGAGGGAAAGTTCCCCACACACACACACACACAGGTTACCAAATAAGGAGTGATAGTGACGCGTAGAAAACCCGGAAACTGCGCTAGCCTCTGGTGGCTACCATTAGCAGCTAATTTTTCTTCTCCGAATTTTGCATAAAAATTGAATTATGGACTATCAATAATTTTTTCAAAGTGACAGACACATTTCTATAACCTATGGATTAACCTTCAGCCGCGTTTTTTCTCGTTTTAATGCCATTGAACACGACTTTGACAGGGTTGCCAACCTTGGGTACCTGGCTGGAGTGAGATTTTGATATTTAATTACACATATGCGCACTAAATGACTGCTATCTTGTCAGTAGCGGAACCTTAGCATATATACAATATATACAAATACACAATATTGGACACAGACTATAAAGGGCACAATGTGTCATTCACTAATGAAAGTCAAACACATGTTTGTTTCCACTGTTTTATTGTGTGCCTGTCGCGATAAGCAATTAATTGACTTATCGTACGATAATTAAAAATGAACTAGATAAATTGCCACTTACATGAGGATGTGACTAGCAGTTTGAAAGAATGTACTTGAATTATTATTATTATGTCAGTGGTCTAAAATGGTCATACAACGGTGCCGACAATATTATCGTTTATCGCAATAATTTCCGGGGAAATGTATCCAACAAAATTAATTATCATGAGAGGCCTAGCCTATACATGAAACACACACACAAACAAATCTACAGACTTACTCCAAACTGCCAAATATATTAATTAACACACTCTCACTCTCATATACTCTTTGACTCTATTTTGGCCAAGTAGAACAATAAGCAGCAGACTTTTACTTTTGTGTAAACCTACTGGATCTTAGATCTGCGCATGCGCAATACGGGACGGGGATTGACCAACCGGCTCCCACTGCTCTGCTGTCTGTTAACGTTGTTAAGAGTGGTGGGGGCAGGGAGGGAGCGGATCGAGAGCTTGAGCAGCTGTCAACTCAACATTGTAAATAACCAACCAAAAACGATCTCTGGTTCATCTTGTTTTTGGCGTGAGAGTAGTTTGGGCAGCGTGAGAGCGTGAGATTGAGAGTGAAAGCGTGTGTCACACCGTGTTTTGCTACCTAAAGCTACTCGTGTGTTGTCTGTATTTGCTTCCCCTGTCACGAGTTCTGATCGCTCAGTGATGATCCTTATATTTCTATAATCTGTGGAATCTCAGGATGTTATCTAAGCTTGTTTGTGCAGATCCAATAAGTATATCAATCGGTATAGCTAGAGTTCTGTGCTAACGGCCTTAATATTACTTTTTTTTTTTAAAAGATCAGTTAGCTGAAGCCCTCAGACACTTTTGCTTGCAGATGTTGTGATTTTGGCCCCTTCGGCGGGTCCGTGGGGTTTAAGAGGTTTAATATACCTGGTTGGCTTCCGATGTCCTCATAACAAGTAATTTCGTGGCCATGCGTCACTGGTCACGTATATTGAAGCTATTATTACACTCTGAACTAGCTAAAACCTCGAGCTACAGGAGGGTTCTTCAGAATTGATTGTGGCATCTCAACTGTGTGGTCAACTCGTGGCCCGTGACATGTCTTGTGAATTCTCCGGCCGAAGCTCCAAATAAACCGTCAGTGTTTGCCATCAAAGCTCCAGCTCTCCTCGTGTCTCTCAGAGTCCTGACTCCAATTGCTTCAGAAGTTTCCCCCACATCTACTAGTACAAACAAAGGGAGTGAAACCATGTTGCTTCTAAGCAAGCAGGCAACAGTAAGCAACAGTTTGACTCACCAAAGCAGGAGCGTTGACCACGGAGAGGTTGTAGCCGTAAATGAAAGATGACCCCAGGGCCCCGAAGAAGGCTGCGCTGAACAGACACGCTGTGACTGGCTGCTGGAGAGGGAGCACACAAAACACACTGAGAATACAAACATGAACATGTAAGAGGCCATGTCAGACACATTGTTTTTGATAAATGTCAACTTCGGAACAAAAACAAGGGAATCCAGCAAAGGACGCTTCGAAAAGGCCTTGGTATCCAGTCCAGAATAAACTGGGATATTCCCTTGAGAATGCCACTACTTTAACAACATGTGTGCAAGGATTGACATTGGCTGAGCAAAGAAAGACCACTGAATGAAAATGCAGCGGTTATACGAGCCCTGTAATTGAGTGAGAAATGAACTGCACATGCTGCATAAAAAATGAATGAGAGTGAACAAGTCATAGGCCTAATATTAGATTTAAATTATGCTGTGGTAGTGCAGGTATAACAAATCAATCATAGCAAGACTGAAAAAGTGTTAAGGCCCACAAGCGGTTAATTAAAACCCATTGTACATAAGAGCAAGACAGAGAAAAAACCATAAGGGAAATGTTGCTACTCGAGGAACGTCATTGCTTTTTGAGCTAAACACATAAAGGCTCACGGAAACGAGAAAAGGCCTCAATGTCATGAAATTCAAGACATATCCTTTGAGAGGATGAACATGTAATGGAACTGTGACAATTAGATCATGAGAGCCCATGAGCATGTTGACATTTAGGCCAGAAGATAGTGCGGAGAATTAATGTAATAGAGTCATACTGTACGTTGAGAAGATTGGATGCGTTGTGATTTTCATGGTCATTTTTCCATGGTCATTTTTCCATTCAATATAAATGTGTCTTATACAGTTTGAAAGCTTTGCCTGATATTACAAACTTCATGTTAACAGCTGACCAGAAACAATGGGAATCGTCCTCTGGGGAGTATGATCTCTAAATTATAGGTCAATTCGGTCATTGTACTTTTGAATTTTGCTGATGACCCAAGTGCTGGACATGGACAGTATAGAGTCCGTTTTCATGACCCATTGTTTTGTCGAAACAGCCTTGAGTTTGCATTTAGCCAGAGCCTTCTTGTTTTTTTTGGAACCATAAGTGACACAAAAGGTTGGCACTAAGTCAAACTTAATGCTGAAAGAAATGTTTTAGGTGACCAAATGTTGTAACTTTCACAAAGTCAAAGTCAACTTTAATGTCAATCTTTCAGTTTGTGTGTACAGAGAGAGAGATCGAAATGACGTTTCCAACAATCCCGAATATAAAATTATACAATGTACAGATATGTATAAAATATGTATATCATTATATAAACAATAAACAGACAAATTTACAAATTATGCACACATTAAGATAAAAAACACAACAATCAATATATACAAAATAGTATACAAAATAACAGTAACAGTCGCATCAATATCAATATCTTTGGTGCAAGATTGTCCATAGAATGTACATTTATTGCAGATTGTCCATAGCAGCGTAAAAAAAAGTTCTGGTGCTGGATTTGAGTGTCTGAGTGTGTGTGGGGAGTTATAGTCCAGTGGGGGCAGGGGAGTGAGGGGGGAGAGAGGGGAGGGATGGGACTCATGATGGCAAAACTTACAAAGAGATTACTATGCTGTATTGAAGAAGACTTGAAATTGAGGAAAGAAGGCAAAAAACTAATTGGGAAAATGTTTCTAAGGTAAGAATTAAAGTGAATAATGTAGGGTCATTTTCTCATAGACTTCTATACAATCAGATTTATTTTTGCCATCAGTAGAGTCGCCCTCTGCTGGATGTTAAAGAAAACTAAGGTTTTTAATTCTCTTTTCACAGATTACTAATTTTTCAGTTTTATCGACAGCCTTCCACCACTCCTTGCCTTTTTATGGGGATGGCAATGTCAGCCCATCACTTCTAAAGGTTGCAAGGTTAAGGATTAGAGCACACAGTGATGCGCACAATATGTTATGTGCTTTAATGTTGTGTAGCAAAGTCGAAGAAAGTACAGTTAATTGAAAGTGTCTCCCTGTCCACTTATTCAAATATATGATCGGATGATATTGCCATCAGCATTAAGTCATTAAATATAATGTTGTAAATTACTAAATAAGGCATTAAAGGCTGTGAGCATGCCAGTTTAGCTAGTGGCCTTTACTCCATGTAGCTTTTTAAAAAATGTGATTGTATCTGTTAAATGAATAATCAAGGTAAAAGGAAACATCTGAGTAAAAATAGCAGGTAGTGGCTCCAAGGCCAAACACCTGGTCCTAGGTCTACCCCTTGGTCTCTTCCCAGCTGGACGTGCCTGGAACACCTCCCTAGGGAGGCGGCCAGGTGACATCCTAACTAGGTGCCCGAACCACCTCAACTGGCTCCTTTCGACGCGAAGGAGGAGCGGTTCAACTCCGAGTCCCTCCCTGATGACCGAACTTCTCACCTTATCCCTAAGGGAGACGCCAGCCACCCTGCGGAGAAAACCCATCTCGGCCGCTTGTATCCGCGATCTCGTTCTTTCGGTCATGACCCATCCTTCATGACCATAGGTGAGGGTAGGAACGAAAATGGCCCGGTAGACAGAGAGCTTTGCCTTCTGGCTCAGCTCTCTTTTCGTCACAACGGTGCGGTAAAGCGACTGCAGTACCGCTCCCGCTGCTCCGATTCTCCGGCCCATCTCACGCTCCATTGTTCCCTCACTCGAGAACAAGACCCCGAGATACTTGAACTCCTTCACTTGGGGTAAGGACTCATTCCCTACTTGGAGTGGACAGTCCATCGGTTTCCTGCTGAGAACCATGGCCTCAGATTTGGAGGTGCTGATCCTCATCCCAGCCGCTTCACACTCGGTTGCGAACCGATCCAGTGAGTGCTGAAGGTCGCAGACCGATGAAGCCATTAGAACCACATCATCTGCAAAAAGCAGTGGTGCAATCCTTAGTCCACCGAACTGCAGACCCCCTCCCCCATGACTACGCCTCGAAATCCGATCCAGGTATATTACAAACAGGATTGGTGACAAAGCGCAGCCCTGGCGGAGGCCAACCCTCACCGGAAATGGGTCCGATTTACTGCAGAGGACCCGGACACAGCTCTCGCTTTGGGAGTACAGAGATTGGATGGCCCTGAATAGAGACCCCCTCACCCCATACTCCCGCAGCACCTCCCACAGTAACTCGGTCATACGCCTTCTCTAAGTCAACAAAACACATGTAGACCGTGTGTTACATAAATGTTTTCTCTGCACATATGGTATATCTTCATCCCTTTACACAATGCAATAACTCACTTATAATATTATGCTTGCAATATGCACTCATGTGTCTCAGCAGAGTTCTTCCCCAGTATAGTCCTCCTTTCCTATTTGCATATACCATCAAAGGAGGCATATTCAACAAAATATCTCCACACACGTTTTGCATAATAATTGATTCCAGAATAAGTTGTATTGAAGCGTGATCTTACAGAAAAAGGAGGTTGGAGCAAGTCTATGGCATTTTTAGGCTATTCAAAATGCATCAATTTGAAAGGTGTATGAAGTGATGAAATAAATGCTTTTGCTTTGTAGGACTGAGCTCATTATGGATACATGTTAGAGGCGCTGGCTCAGTATTTGCCAGTGTTTGAAATCTGTACTCACTGATTGATATGAAACAAAAAATTGGTAAACTGAACCCTTTCATCTGTTCATAACCGAGCAGACTCTAAATTAGACACTATACCAGTGCTGGAATTGGGCCGGTACTCACCGGTACGCAGTACCGGCACTTCTGGTTCTGACCCATGGAGTACCGGCACTTCTTGCTCAGTACCGGCATGCTGGCGGTACTCCGGTACTCATGCACCGTGCCAGTACTCAACACTCTCCCGCCGTTCTTATTATACATCCATATATATATATACAGCCGCCCGGTACTCAGTATATGCGTCATGAGGTGCCGAACGGACATTCTCATCGCTCTAACCGCTGGAGTTTCACAGCGGCTGTCAGCTGTTTACTCCTGTCATTCAAACAGAACGTGCTGGAGAGGGGGCGGGGCTTATCTTCTCCATGTAAATACTGTGGTGGAAACGACTATGTCAAAATTAACCTATTTGACCGTGATTTAATAGTAATACACGTTTCAAAATAATAATAATAATAATAATGCCGAAGTAACAACATACTGAAAACTGTTAGTAAAACCATGTTTTAATACTTTACAATTTACATACCTAGATGCACGTGTGTTGTGTTTATGCAGTGCAACTCCCACCCAGTGGGTGGCTATGTAGAGTGATAGAACAGAGCAGGCACGCCCCCGAGAGAAGGAAAGCAAGTCACGTCACAAATTAGCATTTCTAAAATGTTTAGCGTGGATTAATAAAAGTGCAAAAAGACAGCGGTTGTCGCCGGAAGAAACTTCAAATACAGAGAATGCTGTGCCTGTGTTGGAAATTGTGTCTGATGGGGAGCTTTCTTTGGTTGATCCTCCTGCTCCAAGTTCTAGTGCATTAGCATTAGCACTAGCTCCGCCGCCTCCTCCAGAGCCTCTAACGTTAGCTGCTGCTGGCGCAACTGCCACCACCAACACCGGGCAAAGCGATGCACCTGACTGCTGGACAACGGACCAGGTGCAATATTTTTGCAAGACCAATGCATGGCTCCTTCTTAAAGATAAGAAGCTAGGATGTCGGATATGCAGAGATCATGTCAAATCTTTGGGAATACACACTGGACAAGGACTGAAACTGTCAACTGAATGGGGTGAGTGTGCAGTGTCTCATTTCGGTGTGTTGACAAGGGCAAACAACAAGCTAGCCTGAGAAAAAAAATCAAAGAACATAAAGAATCACAAGCCCATGTAAAAGCTGCTGACATCCTTACATCTGCTTCACGTGAAACTATTCAACATCAAGTGCAGTCTATGCATAAATCTGAATTAGACACCACTATCAGAGTTTTTCGAACGGCATATAAAATTGGCAAACATAGCCGGCCATTCACAGACATGCCAATTGATTTGAATGTACAGAAACTGAATGGGCTGAACGTGGGCAGGGTTTTGCACTCCAATAAAACCTGTGGCGAAATCATCGACCACATA